CGTCAACTATTTTTTTAATAAGCAAACGTACAATAGTCGTATTGTACATGTACATACGTATTTCTAATGCTTAATACACATTTTTTTACAAACTTTTTAGTAAAGATATTAAATAGTATAGATAGACCTTTTAGAATAGTATAGCCGTGCGGCAATACTACGATTTTTTTTTTCTTCCAAAAATAGTATAGTGACACGTGGCGTCTAATCGCTGGAGGGCCCTTTTAATATAAATTTTTTATGAAATTTAAAAAAAAATTAAAAAAAAATAGTACAGCCGGGCGGCTATACTCTGTGTTTTTGAAAAGTTGAATTGTATTGACACGTGGCGCCTAATGATTGGGGTCCTCTTTTTTTATATATATAAAATAGTACAGCCGCACGGCTATACTCAGTTTTATAAATTTTTTTAAAATCGTACAGCCGCGCGGCTATACTATTTTACGAACCCTTTAAGTAATATAATATGTATTTCTCTTTTTTTAATTACTTTGATTAGTAATTATGTTTTAGTTATTATTTACTTAGTGAACTGTTTTGATTAAATACATGAACTTTTTTTATATTTTTTATATTTGATACTTAGAATAAGTTCCCAATCAAAAACTGAAAACTGCAGATGTTATGACAAATTAGATACCTGATATTGCTCATTTGTGTACAACGTATCAACCAAATAATGCCACTCTTCTAGAGTCCTTCGAGTACCAAAGATCTTTTCAGGGGGAGGTGTTTCTCGTGCACGATCAGGGTCAGAAGCATATTGCTTATAGTGTCTGTGGAGCTTTGCTTTCCATTCTTTATAAGTTGAGTGCATATGGTCAGTAATAAATTTCCATATATCCGGATCCGCTAAGTCCACATCAAACATGAACTAATATCAATTAACCATAAACAAAACAAGTATTAGTTTCAATTTTCAATGCAAATAGAAACAATGAAGGACAAATTTTTCAGTTTCCACTAGAATACAATGAAGAATTGAAATAAAAAGAGAGCTAAATGAACAAAATTAAATCATAATAAATGAAGAATTAGATAAGATTCCCTGCAATCCCAATGCCATATCTTTCTTCATCTCCAAGCTCCCTTTTTTCATCCCTAAAACATTCAATGGAGCTTTATTGCGAGTGATTAACCCGATCACAGAGACGAACAGTTTTTGAGCCTCAATAGTCGCCACCAATTTCTGGGATGGATCCATCCGTATTGGAATCAAACTCTTCCTCTTTTTCACAACATCACAAGTGCCAGCCCCCACAGTTCGGCCATGAGTGTTCTTCCTCTGTGAAGAAGTTTGAGTATGCGTTCCCTCATCTAGAAGACAAAAATTCAAAAAATTAATAACTAGAGTGCACAAAATAAAGGTATAACAATTACGGGCACAAAATATGTTATCAGTTACCCTGTTGGCGAGAACCCCCTCCTGAGGCTGATGAAGTACCTTGTTGTGGCTGAGTTGATTGTTGTTGTGGCAGCTGACATGGTTGCTCAAGTGGCTGTGGTGGTAGTAGAGTTGAAGTTTCCTTCTTATTCTTATTGTTGCTTAAGGTAGCAGCCCTCGTAAGTGTCATTCTACACTTACAAACGCATAAACAAAGAGAGAATACAACAATATACTACTAGATCATTCCTTGAAAAAATAAAAATAAATGATTGAACATCATACTTCAGCTGTAATGACATCGATTCTCATCACAAACGTCCTTTAGATAAAGGAATTATTCATCAAAAAATGATTGAACATCATACTTTATCAATAGGAAAGAAAAATAACACGCACACACATTTCATTTACATGGGGAGGACATATGCAAACCTTATCCGAAGATATTTCTTCAATATACAGACCCTACAGACCTTACCCCTTAAAACAGATTGAGGAAAACATATAGTAACTTGAAGATCATTAAGAAATATGTAGTGCCTAAACAAAAGACAACCTAACACTTCAATCCAAATCACTATAATCGTCACTGTGAACACTGCCTTCGTCATCACCGGAAGGTATTTCTTCAATATCATCATCATCAATAAAATCTTCATCCTTCATATCATTTGGGACATGCACAGACATGGAGTCTCATTCTTCTCATCCACATGTTGGCTTGCAACTTCCATAAATGACTTAATACCAGCACGATATTGATTACTCAACCTGTTTTTATTGTGTATCCAATCCCTGTTCATCTCTAACGCACCTTGTCTCCATCTTCTTATACCTCCAATAATGGGCCTTATCCAATTCAATCGGTGATGACTTGAAGCAGTTCCAAAATTTCATAACATGATTAGATCGAACACTTATATAGATACAAGCAAATAACTCTTTCACAGAATGACAAGCTAATAACTCTTTCACATGAAAATTATAAAAAGAGAGATCCCACATTAATTATGCTTTTCAAGGGTAAGTATCATGGTAGCAATATTTTTTTTTACAATTCTTTCAACATTATTTTGCATAATTTAGTTGAACCCATGAAACCAGTAAAAAAAAATGAAGGCAGGTGCAAGATTTGTAGTTATTCATACCTCTTAAGCAAATATAGCCTCTTAAGCAAGTATTTCAAACAACCTACTGCAAAACAAAAACAAACAAAAAAACAAAAAAAAAAATCAGTTAGACACAGTAAACCCACGACACAGGTCAGAAAAAAAAAAAACAAAAAAAAGGCAGATGCCATATTTTTAGCTATCCATACCTCTTTAAGTAAGTAATTCAAACACCCTACTGCTAAAAAGAAAAAGAAAAAAACAAATCTGTTAGACACTATATTTTTGGAGGGCTTGAGTCCAAATTAGTCTTCAAACTCAAAATAGTATATGCCTTCACCTCTAAGTTTCACCACTCATCATTAAACAAAAACATTACTTTTCTGAGTTAACTCAAAACAGTAACATAATAAGACATCACATGAAGCACCAAATATCCAAGATAAAAGTCTCAACATAAAACCAAATGGTTCAAAATAATATTGTAATCAACACATCCACTTTATACAGTTAAAACATGTACAATGAATAAAGTCAGGCTTAAGGTCACATGTCTCTCATGTAGTATATGAATTATCTGAAATTACTAATTAGGCTCTTCATCTCAATTCTAGAACAAATTATTATTCTTTACAGTTCTTATTTATATATGCCCTAAATGATTATAAAAACCATTTCAAATTAACAAAAATTTACCCTTGAAGCTAATTGAATGACCTTGCATAAAATTCAAGCTACCAGTGATCATCACACAAAGCCAAAATGGTTTGTTAAAAGAGGAAAAAAAAGTGGCCAAAAGAGCTTGAAAAGGATTTCCAAAACAATCAAACCAACATTGAAGGATGATACTCCATCAGTTAAATTCTATTGTCCAATTAAGTGGTACTACACTTAGACACCAATACTAAGGGAAAGAAAAATAATTGCTAATCTATGGGCCGATCACCCTGCAGCTAGCTTATATATAAAATATAGAGACAACTCTGCAGCTAGCTTATATCTAAACTATAAAGAGAACTCAATAAGCTACATTGGCAAAAAAATCAACAATAATATCAACAACAAAAAAAACATTAGCTCACAGACAAAGGCAAAGGAACCTTGAAATGAATACACACCCACATGACCAACTTCCAACTTCTAACTTTTTACTTCAATTATATAAATGAATTGTTATATTCTTTCCAAGAGATAGTAAAGAAATTCAGATTTAATCCAGAAGTATCATGCAAACATTCAAGACTTGGAAAATAATCAATCTCAAAGCATTAAAACATAAAAAAATGAATTAACTACTGGGTACGTGTGCAAGTGAAACATCTCAAATTTGACACAAAACCCACATCAAATGCAAAACAGGGCATTGATATCAGACACAAAACTCTACTCAAATTTGACATAGAACCCAAAATAACCACTTGAAAAAGAAAAGTCATTGTATTCAGAAAACTTGGACTGTTGAATGTTCAAGCAGTTAAGATATCAAAAAGGAAAAAAGAAGCACTGATATTCAGTTTCGATTTAAATTCCTGGGTATCTATTTCCGATTTTCCTTGATTATTTTCTCAGCAACCAAATGGAATCTGAAAATCAGCGCTCAAAAGAAAATAAAGGTAAGCGAGACAAGGTAGACTCACCAGAAGCATTCCGTTGAAACACGCAGTGAGGAGGACTTCGGAGATGGAGTTTTTAGATGGCCGTCATTTCCTGACCATGGTAGGGAAAGGCGTGCGCGATGGAGGATTGCTTTGCCGATGTGAGAGCAGCGGAGAGTGAGTCTGAGAGGAAATAACGAGTTGGGAACTTTTTATTTTTATTTTTGTATTTATACTCTCTAGATTAGCCCCAAAAACTATTTGGTCGCCCATATGCTAACATAATAAAACACCGTCGTTTTACGGCTTACATTTTTCTAGCACAATGATCTGCGACGAAAACCAAATGGTCGCCGACCCCACGAAATTTTTAAGCGCCAATTCTAACTTAGCGACAACACATTAAAACTTAGCGACCTAATATTTTCGTCGCCAAAAAATTTTAGAGTTTCGCGCGCACCCAATTCAGTAAATCGCGACCAAATATATGTTTGGTCGCCAAGTGCTCGCCTAAGCACCAAAACCTTTCGTCGCCCTTAGTTGATAAATTAGTCGCTATTTAGTTGACTCAAGTCATGAAGGGAGTCTAAAAATCACGAACTTTTTGGCGACTAACTGAAAAAATTTCGTCGCCGATGCCTTTTTTGGCGACCAAAATATGGTGCGTCGCTAAAATTTTCGTTGCAGAAGAGGTTTTTCCTTGTAGTGCTATGAGTACCTTACATGCCTCAAATGTGCTCCTGCTGCAGCAATATAGGCATAGTGGTTTTACAAAGTACTCAGAACTGGTTTTAAATTAAAAATAATAAAAAATATATTTATTTATTTAACCTTAATTATGAGTTTAAAAAAAAAATATATATATATAAAAAAAAGCAACGTGTAAGCAAAACCTTTATTCTTCCCCCCTTCCTTTATACATTCTCTTCACAAATCTGACTTTAATCTCAAATTGAGATGAGTTGTTCATCTATTGGAGGTGAGTCACCTAGTCTAGGCTAAGGATATTAATTGCATAAACTAAGATAAGATTGGGGATGAAGGAAATGAAATTTGGGTGAGGAAGAAAAGAAAAAAATCTCTAAGGTCAGTTAATTTTGAAAATTTTGGTTTTAACTTCGTGGTTGTGTGATTTTAGTCTCTTAAAGAATAATTTGAGTCATATGAGTGTTAGGAAAATTGAATTGGAAGAGGTTGAACTTCTATTTTTGGGTTGGGTGGCTAGAGCAATTTTTCAAGTGTGGATGTTCTTGATTTTGGTTCCATTTTGAGTTTTTGATGAGTTCGATTGATAGGTATGAAGTTTAGAAGTGTTTTAGAAGCCTTAGGAACAACCTGGGGGTGTTAGAATGGTTGAAAATAACTTAGAACCAAATATGGAAAATGTCATTTTCTGTAAATTTTTCAGCCCATGAGCCTCACTTTGGCTATTTTTTTCTCCCAATACTTTGAATGTTTGAGGAATTCATTTGTTGGGTTTTAAACTAAACATGGCAAGGAACAAAAAAATAAATTGGTTTCGTTGAATTTGGTTGAGTTTTGATACATCAAACACCTATGCAAAGTTTGGAAAACAAATCTGTTTTTTGCAGAAAAAGAGCCATGAGCCCAACTTTGGAGCTAGTTTTCTCCTTCGTCTTTTTCCATTTTTAGTATGGTTTGTTGGGTTAGAAATTAGAGGTATTAAGATTCAAAACCACTGTAAGTTTGCCCATTTTCGTTGACGTTTGGTTGGTCAAAATATCTCACAAAATCTGGGATTTAATATGTAAAACAAGGGAAGTTGCAAGATTTTTTTTGGAAGATGATGAATAGTAACTGGAAAACAAGCCCACTCGCAGCTCTGGCGAGTGGCGACTCATGACGGCTGTTCCGGCAGCCTCTGAAGCCATATTTTTAGCTCATTCGACTTGATTTCTCAATCCGAGTCTGATGGTATATGTTTTGAGTCAATCCGGGGTGGTGCAAAGTATGGGTTGTTGTGGGGCCCATGGGACCCAAATGGTAACTTTTGGATAACGGGCATTGTTGGCCCTATTTCAGTGTTGACAGGGCATAGGAAAGAGTTTTAGATTATTTTGGACGAGATTTAGCCGCTTTGGACCTCGGGTTAGTCCTAGGGGCATTTTCGTCATTTTAAAGCAAAATCTTTGAAATGCATAAGGTTGAGGTTGGTCTTAGGTGAAATAAAGTGAAGACTGCTCAATAATAATTTGGATTTGAATTTGTTCAGGAATTGGATCAAAAGTGTAAATTCGACAACTCTGAGAACTTCCGAAGGGTAAATTTGGTACTTTAGCTAGCTGGACTTGAGGTAAGGTTTCCTGATTTCCCGATGATTGGGCTATGTCACTTTTTATCTTGGTGCTTATATTTAGTACTATAAATATGAATATTATTGTTGATTTGTTCATTGAATATTATTTGATGTTATGTGAATATTATTATTGATGTCTCTGCATTACATATGCATCATAAATACAATGGTGTTTGGGGTATGTGTGTCATTTGAGGTATATCTAAGGGGTGGGAGAAGGCCTTAGATATATCTGAGTAAAAAAAATATGGAATATATTCAGGTGACGGGAGCAAGGCATAAATATATTGAAGTGATGGGAGCAGGGCTTCTAATGAAAAATGAAAGTTGAGAAATTCGTAAAGAAAAGAAAAATGGAGTAAGGGACGGATGGGCGGTAGTTCATATTTTAGGGTATTCGGAGCCACAATGGTAAAACACATGGTATGTGATATGCAGGCTTGTTTCCCTAAGGTATGAATTAGTGGGATTAGAAGGGAGTGAGTTCATGGCATCACCGGATATGCAAATTTATTTATTTGGTCTGATTGCATAACTTGTATATCTTGTGTTGGTTGATGCATGACACTTTGATTAACTGTGATAGCTAACCTTGAGGGGTTTGGCGGTACTCTATTGGGTATTAGAATGCTCATACCCTAATAGATTGTGCAAGATTAAAGAAGAAGTTTGAGGAAACGGGTTTCAAATAAGCTGCTGGGCTTTTGTTGTCGATATTGTATAATTAATAATTGTAAGTAGTCAACTGTTTGATAAAAATCTTAGTGTGTATTTAACAACGAGTTACTGCGACTCTAATTTTGTGTTGTTATGTAAATTTGTATTATTTGTGGCTCTATTTCTCATCATATTATGGTTGTAGGATTTTATTCTTATGACTATGATATAACTCACATCATGATTCGGGAATATTCCTTATTTTCGAATCGGGTCGTGACAGTTGACAAAACACATTATGTTATCAAGTGACAACTCTTGCCAAGCTTGTTCACAGGGGAAGTTGGTGATCAGACCATCACAACCAAAGATTCTTTGTAGTGCCTTGAGTGAAGACCATTATATCATCTGCAAAAAGAACATGGCTAGGAGGCATAACACCTCACGGAGCATTAATTCGAAGCAAAGCTCCATATTCTACTAAAGAAGAAATTCCACGACTGAAAACCTCTTGCACTAAACAAAAAAGAAAAGGGGAAAGAGGGTCACCCTGTCGAACACCCCGAGAGCAAGAAAAATATCCAGAAGGTGAACCATTAACAAGAATCGAAAGATAAGATGAGCCAAGCAATTCTTTGATCCATAAAACAAAAGTCTCACCAAACCCGAAAGGCCGTTTGAACACGAAGAATGAAGCCCCAATCCAAAGTATCAAAGGCTTTATGAATATCAAATTTAATTGCAACATTACCGCCTTTGCATTTACAATCCAAAAGATTCATGCACTCCGAAGTAAGTACAATAGAATCAGTTATGGAGTGCCCTTTAACAAAGGCATTTTGATTGTGAGAAATAATGCGTGACACAATAGGCTCAACACAATTAGCCAGAATTTTGTTGATGATCTTAAAAACAAAATTAGCTAGCGCAATCGGACGAAGCTAAGAAATCGTATCAGCACCAGGAACCTTCGGAATCAATATAAGAAGATTAGAGTTAAAATGAGGCATGACTAATCCTTGAAGAAAAAAACTTTGAACTGCCTGAACAACTTCATGACCAACCATACTCCAACAGTGCAAGAAAAAAATCCCACCAAAGCCATTAGGACCCGGAGAACTCAAAGAATCCACAGATTTAACTACACCAAAAATTTCCTCCTTGGAGGGAATAGAAGTGAGAAGTATGTTGTCCTCCACGGTGACTAAAGATGGAATTACCCTTTCAACAAGACCTGTATTAACCACTTTGGCATCAGCAGTGAACATTTTCTAAAAGTGATTGACAATATGAGATCTACTTGCGTCTTGATCATCCATAATGGTATCTCCATCTTTAAGAATTGATAAAGATTGATGAAGCTTCCGATGTTTCACCATAGAGTGAAAAAAGGAAGTGTTTCTATCACCTTCAGCAAGCTAACGCACTCGAGATTTGTCCCTCAATAAGATCTCCTGGACACGAAGAGAATCGTGAAGCTGCGTTTGCACCTGATCTTCACGCAAGAATCGATCATCTGAAGGCCCCAAATTTACAATTTCAGTCTGAATGGACTCCAAAGCTCTCATTGAATCGTTAACTTTAGCATTGATGTCTCCAAATTCCCGCCAATTCCACTCCTTAAGCTCAATTTTAAGAGCCCGTAATTTAGATGAAAGAACGAACATTGGACACCCATAAAAAGAGAAACTCATCCACAACTGCTCAACCATTTGGCAAAAACCAAGACCTTTCAGCCAAATTTGTTGAAAACGAAAAGGTGGGCGTGACACCAGTTGTAATCTATCAGAAGTGAGGAGGAGGAGAAAATGATTAGATGTCGATCGTGGAAGAGTACAACAAGTCGTGCTAGGCCAAGCATGTTGTGCGGAAGCGTCAACCAAGTGCGAGTGAAAAATAAACACAACTAGCAGGAGATAAAATGAACACAAACAACACCAACAAGAACACCAAGATTTATACTGGTTCGGCAATGCCTACATCCAGTTTGGAGACGACGGAGTATTCCACTATAATCAATGAGAACATACAACAGTGTTTATCACTCAATTTCCCAAAGACCCAAATAACCCAAGCTCACACATTTACAATAGGAAGAGAAACTGAAAATACAAAGCAAAGACAACTTGAGAGAATTTTCTTCTCTCTGCCGAATGGCTTCTTGCTGTTTCTCTCCCTCTACTCCTTTCTTCAGCTGCTGCCATGCTTCTCTATTTATTTAGAAGCCAACGGGTGAAGGCCAGCT